TACACCTTTGTGCTACCTAGAAAGCCCAGGACACTAACCCTCTGCTAAGTCTGACAAGGAGTCACTGTATTCTTAGGTTTGCTTTAAGGCTGGTTTGCTTTTACAGAGCTGGACCAGTTTCTCCTGAGTCAGATTCTGTTATATGTAAGCTATTGTGGTGCCTTCAATTCAGTTAAGAGTGGATCAGATAGGTTTTTTCTCCCTTCACAATTACCACCTTATTGTTGCCCTGTTATTGTGCATTATGCCAGCATTACACAGCTACAAGCATGCCTCAGGGCCCCATGCAGTGTATGTGGTAAGGTTTTCACTTCTGATTGTGTAGACAGAGCAGCATTACAAATTTACATCTGCAGTTTCTTGGCACTCATTCTGCCTATGGAAAAGCTTCATGTGTGGAAAGTGTCAGGCCCTTGGGACAGGCTGGACCTTTTCCTACACAGGGACCGATGCAAGGAGGCAGATGGCAGTAGGTCAGAGCTGTGTTGGGCCTCAGTCTAGCGTAGGCCCAAAGTAAGGCTCCACTGCAGCCTCCAAGTTTCCCTTGAGAGTCATAGGCAGTGATTCTGGTAGTGAATGTGAATCCCGTGAAGAACAGAATATGATCTCTGCAGCTGTAGCAGATACTGTATGGGAAATGGACAGCATTTATGTGAGCTTTTGAGTACTTGTTTTGTTCCCATCGTTCTTTCTAGATGATTGAATACCTTGATTTTGAATCCAACCATTTCATGTCCCAGAAATCAAACATCACCACCACCACGTGGCCTCCTCCAGTGCACAACGGTGCTGTTCCTGTTTCCCATTGCACTGGTATCACTCAAGTATGAAGAAACAGAACCGCTGTTTTGCCAAGATTGTTAGAAGGGAGGGATCTCCTGAAGGACTGTGTGGACTAAATTGCTCTTTTGGCAAAATGGAGAAACAGTAGTGAAAGCTGAAATGTTTGCATCCTGCATGCATTTACACTTTTCTCATAAAGGGCAAAAAAAAAAAAAAAAAAGTAATAATAATGTGATGCCTGTTCTGTGGTGATTAATATTTTTGTCTGCATGAAGATTGCTTTCTCTGAGGCTTTTGGTATATGGTCTCATAAAGTTAATGGGCTGCCCTTGTATAAAATTCCTTCACAGGATAATCCTGAAGTCTTGCTCAGTCTTTAGCTAGGCAGAGCAGACGAGGAATTTGAAGAGCGTAAGGACACGTCAGGACTCCTGAGTTTGCCTGAGACTGCATATAAAAAATAATATTGTCTTAGAAAACAAAAAGCATGTGTCCTGCATCTGCTGAGCAAGGGCTTTCATGCCCATGGTTTTTCCCTGGCTGCTGGCAGATTCACAGAATTGAATGTATTCTGACTGAGGCTGAATAAGCAGCTGGAGGGCTGTTATCTCTGTGTAGCGGCACGGACCTGTTCCCTTTTCTGTTTTCAGGCAGTCTGCCCGTTCTCTCTCCTTTGTAGAGTTTGCAACTTCATGGGAGGGTGAGCATGTTCACATACATCATAGCGTTGGTGCTAGCTGAGGCTGAGCCAAGCAAATTATTTCTGTCTCATTCCCACAGGTGGAGGAGGGCACTCAATATCTTGAGTTCATACCTTTTGATAAAGCACTCCAAAACACGTGTCCGTCAGACTTACAGATTGGTGCAGCCAGCGATCACTCAACCATCTCTGGCATTCAGACGTTTTGCAGTGATAGAAGTCAAATTACGTATAAAACTGCTGATCCCAAACTGTTCAGGTCAGATTTGTCTGCTACTGTAACTTCCTTTACATCAGTAAAGCACCAGGAAGGTTGAATCCAGATCTCTACATTTTTTTCTTCTTGTTTAGGAGTAGGAGACCACCCAGAAATGAGGGCTGAATACTACGACGTCGACATTCCCTGTGCTGCTTGCAACCCATCAGCCAAAGGCTTCTCAATAGCTCCCTTTCTGAGCAGGTGCTGCTGCTGAAAACTCAAAAATGACTGGGATAAAAAATTTCCCTGTTCAATCAGAGCAAAAATCTGCCCTCTTGAAATACAATTCTGCTTTATCTGATTTTCCTTTCGATGGAAGGAGAGGCACACAGTTTTTTCTTATTGTGACCTATTTTTGGCAATCCAGGAAGGATCTTGTTGAAAGCCTCTGAAAGCTCTGCTAACCATTAATTACTTTGGATCTAGCTAGTAGGAAATTCTGCTTTAAGCAATATGGAAAGTTACGAAAGCAAAAAAGGGTTACATGTTTATAGAGCACTTTTCGCATTATTTAGCATTCCCAGTTGTTGGATTGTTTCGTTCTTCCTATTCCTACATGTAGAAGATGCTTGCATTACTCATGGGATGTTGAAGAGGGATGCAGTGCAGATGCTGCCCCAAGCACCTCCACCACTATAGCTTTTTATTTAGAGCTCTTACTAAGCCTGGCAGGACAGGTGAACCCCTCTGGAAGCAGAATTGCAAATGTCTTCTTTATGGTGTGGGTGATGCAAACCCCTCTGCCTTCAGCACTGAAAGCCTTTGTTGTTGTTCTCTCTCTCAGGGTGGTAGTTTCCTTCCTATTAACAGATGCTGAAGAAGTCTTGTACCTGTCTTATGTTGCTTTCTTATCTTTTTTTTTTTTTTTTTTTAGACCTCAAACACAGGATATGTGTGCTTATGAACGGAGATCAGGCAGGTATCTACACTTGGGTGTTTGGTAGAAGGCAAACGTCTTCAGGGGCCCTTTGTACACACTAGAGCTAAATCCTCTGGAAGACCATTCAGGGCATTGGAATAATCACTGATAAATCATCCTTTGGAGGAGTGCCTCTCTTTCCACTGCCTGTATATGATATCCATAGAGACCAGACTCACTTACTGCAGCTGAAGTTAGATGCTGCAGAAGGTGGCGTGAATGCCCCCACAGTTTCAGCCACTACTCACCCATTAAAAGGCTTCCAGTTTTCCCACTAATGTAGCCAGTCAGCTGGCCTAAGCAAAAAAACAGCCTGTGGAAAACTGTGTATTAAGCATCAGTCTTTATTGCACCAAATAGCTCTTTTAAATCCTCACCCTGGGAAGCTGTTGACACATGTTTGAATCATTCTATTACCTTCTCCCAATAAATGTATGTGTAATTGTGTTTGTGTATACTAGTTACATGTTGCTGTGGAAGTTTTGGCATGCTGATATGTATCTGCATGCCAACCATCACAACCCATGGCTTCATGGCCGTATAAGGAAGTTCACCTGTGGAGATGTTCAGAATTTTCCTTTGGAGCTGCTTGAGTTCTTAACCAAGTGGAGCTCCTACGTGCTGGAAGTGGGTGACAGTCTCTGGAAGTAAGATCTGTGGCCTCATATTTGAAACCTAGCTGACAACACCCTGAAAGCCATGAAGGACATTTCTTCCTGTTGTGCCCTCCCTAGAACAGCATGTTCCTTGTGAATCAGTATGCTCTTAGAGGCCAAATCTTCTTCCTCCCTTCCAGCACTGCAGGTAAAATAAGACAGCTAGGCAGCTTGAACATAGAGGAAGCCAAAAGCATGGAAACAGCCTGAGGTGGAAGTCCATTTGGTTAGGTGCCATGGCTGTATAGATTCAGTGTCTAAAATCCCTTGCAAAGAGAGAATGACATAGAATCATTGACTGCAGTTACCTGTGGGGTTTCCTGAAGGCCAGATGTTGGAATGCCTAAAAGAACATATTTGAGCATAATTAGAGGCTTTTTGAAATTAAGATAAAACTTGATCTACAAAGTCTGTACACTTGGGTTTTGTGTTGCACTACACCCCCTGGAATAGGCCTTTATCTCACATTCACATCGGGATGTTAGGCAATATGCCACCACCTACAATGTACTTGAGATATGGTGACTGTTAATTCTCAAAGTGTGGATTGAAGCAACATGCTAAAACAATTTAGAGAATTTCCCGTCTGATATTTGGTTATTAGGCTGAAAAGAGCTATGTACCTTTAGGAAGGTGGTAATAAACATGGTGAAAGTGTAGGGAAAGCTAAACGGTACTGTAAAGGTAGCTTAGAGTCTTCTGTTTACTCACCCACCTATTGAAAGATGGAAGAATGGCAGTACACTAGTTGGGCAGAGTTTTCTTTGCATGAAGTATATTACCATTCATGAGCAGTACCAGAATATGTCAACTTAGGGTTTTGGAAAAGACCAAGCATCTCATAGCCCCCAACACCTGTTGTCCTATTACAACAATAAATATATAAAATTCAAGAGTACCAAATAGGTTTTAAACCAACTCTACAAAAGGAATTGAAAACAAAATCTGTTTGCCAGAAGTTGTGCTCTAACTCTGTGATAGCATCCTCATTCCAGTTAATGTAGCCAAATGATTGTGAACTGTTTGAGCTACCAGCTGTATCAAGAGGAATAGTCACTGTCTTCTTGTGATGGTCTGTGATCCCTGGTCTGTTTGTGTTGAATTTGTGTGACAGTCTATGACCTGACTATGGACACGGGTTGTGATGTGGCTGAAAACTAACAGAGGATGGATATTTGAATGTAGAAGGAAATTTCTGGCATTCTGTCACCTACCTGAATTGACTGCTGAATGCTTCAAGTGTGCATTAGTTATTTCTTCTGCAAGTGAACCTGGGCTGTGCTCTACTTAGAGACACTTGGGTTGATTTTTACTAGAAACGTTCAGACTTTGGTCAGTCCTATGCAAGTTCTGCCTAAACGAGCCTGATGAGAGGACTATTAACCCAGCTGATATTGTTTCAAGACAGTCTTAAACAATCTCTTCTGTTTTACAAGACATATAAATGCTTTACAGGACACATAAATTCCTAACAGATGCTGCTGCACACCTACTTTGCACAGGCAGCTCCTGATTACCTCCCAGTCTCGATTTGGTGATTGGGATTAAGTGAGCAGTTGTGTAGCACTGGCACTGCAAACACTGTCCACCAGCAGCAGAGATTTAGGACTGAACCCCTGAAGAATGTCTGTAGATGACTATCTGTTCTCTTTACTGACAGAGATGTAATTCCATGCATTACAGGACCAGGCAAGGCAGGAGAGAGATGGACACTTTGGTCTGTAAATGCATCAGCTCTTCGTCCTGGAAAGTGAAGTTTTTCTTCTTACTGGCTTCCTGTCCACACAAGCCTGTATGAGCCATGCAGCTTTCAGAGGATACTCTTAGAGGTAAAAACATTGCTCTTGTCAGTTGCTAAACTTTGGAGCTGTTCATTTCTGCCCCTTCCTCCCACCCCAGACAGTGAAATGACTGCTGGCACTATCCAGTAATTAATGTGCTGACATATTAATATGCACAGGTATGATCTTCCAGTTGGCACCATCACACTGTAGGAATCGATTTCTAAAAAATGCAACATACAAAATACAGAATACAATCTCTTCTGCTCTCCAATATGCAGCACGAGATAATGTGTCATGTTCCCTAGCTACCAGTGACAGGAGGAAGGTAATCAATACATAAAAGCAAAATTACAACTGATTCCCTTCACTGAAAAGCATCATCTTTTAGCCTGCATTATCACAGCTTCAGCTGTACAATGCATTAAAATGATTATGCACTTCTCTTTGCACATGCTAATTAGAATCCTGTTATCTTTTCTGAGAGCACCGTTTGAAGAAGACAGGTTAATTGTGGAATCCTATACAAGTTTATTCTTTAGTAGGTGCTCAGTTGCCATAAATCAGTGTACTTCCACCAGAATCAGTAAGAGAAATACCTGCTTGCATCACAGGATGTGATGCTGTGTTTTGTGTAGGGAAAAATGTCTGCACATCATTTTTTGAGCTGAAGGTTCAGCGAACAACTGCCTGCTAAGAAACCTGATCTTCATCATGTTGCAGTTTTTCTTCTGCATTATTTAAATGGCAGGCAAAAGCACTGTGAGGCAGTGCAGACTGCAAAAAATAGTATGATGCCACTCAATCTTTATCATTAAGAAAAACCCCAAGTTTTGGAAAGATTTTGCATTACGGATAACCCATCTCATCTCAGAAGTTGTGTATGGCGTTATTCACCTTACTGTTGTGTATTTGGCACAAAAGAGTGTGTCTGCCTGATGGGTGAAGAGAGGACCTAGGAGCAACACTTCCCTGTTGTAGCCAGAAATCAAAGCAGTGTAACATTAGGTATGTACAGATCCACGTATTTCAAGTTACAGCACTGATCTCTGAGGAAGTCTGTTAAGTCTCCGTGCCGAGAGAATGACAGCAGTAATACTAGAAATGGCAAGGAGCATTCAGGAATTAATGTGAATTGTCAAGTCTGTCAGCTCTTTGAAGTTCTTCAGTCAGTGTTGCTAAATAAACACATTGGTGTCTGTAAAGGATGCATAAAACTGTGCAGTAAGGATCTGCAGTCCTATGCTATGGCTGTGAGGTTTCCAGCAATGGTTCTCACGGAGTGGAACTGCCACCTCTGAGAAAAGGCAGTGAAAATGATGGGGAATGGATGTGGAAGCTGTGTTCTACATCCATTCAGTAATCCAGAGTTTCTCCCAGCTTTGCCCCTCAGGGTCTGTATTTTAGTTGTTGAAGCTCTTTGTGTCTTTCTTATAAAGCTGGAGCATGAAAGGAATTATGTTGTTGTTGATGTGTCCCTTCTACTTTTAAATTCAAATATTTTGTTTTCCTCAGGAGATTGTAACTAATCTACTACTTACCAAAGAATGTTTCTTCTACCAATAACCATATTCTATCCTTAGTTCTGGTCTGACTCTTTTCTAGAAAGTGATTATTTTTCCCATTAAACAAAATTTCTGAGAGAGCAGCCAAGAAAGAATCCTCTTTGCCTCTCCAGTCTCCAGTCTAGAACAGCTATTCTAGCTTGTCATACATAACAGTACTGTCAGCATTGGCTTTTTTTTCCCTACACAAGGGCTTTGGGGGCCAGACAAAGCACATCTCAAAAACTTCTGGTATCTCCATCAGCACTTGGTGGCAGCCTGCTCCACTGCACGGAGCTTTGGCTCTGCTCAGTTGGAGCTACACCAGCCCACAGCCTCTGGAGCACCAAGGGAGAATCTCTCTGCTGTTAATATCAGATTGTTTAGTGCTAAAATCCTCCTCTTTGCTCTTCTGCTTCTGTGATGTTTTTTCTAAATTTATCTGGCTTTTGTTCATATCTTTCTGAGTCATGAGGAAGCCCTGTTCTGCAAGCCACGTATCAACACAGCTCTGTTTCACCATCTCTTCAGAGGGCCAAGGCTGACTTGTGCATCTCCTGCAGCTGGCTGCATAGAGAGCTGCTGAAAGACACATCCTTCTCAGTGTTTTTCACAAAATGGCCTATCTTGCATCACAGCCCTGGTCTAGGAAGGCAGCAGTGTGGAAATTGAAGCTTTAAAACCTGAACAGGATGAGAAATACGTAACCCTTGGAGAATGCTGAAGCTGGCGAGATGATTTGGAGCCAGTCTCTATTCTTAGAAGAATGGTGAATGTCATCATTTAAAAATAAGATACACTGCAGTGCTAGCAGAGTTGTATTTGTGGTATTCCTGTGAGTAAATCCCTCAGCACAAATTGACTTGGCTTCAAGATCAGAAACACTCCACCAAAATAAGGCCCAATTGTGATTTATACACAGTGCAGATCTGAATGGGAGAGAAGTGCCCATGGCATTTGTTGCAACAGGTACTCAGAGCTCATGCCTGGAGTTTACTCAGTATTACAGATCAAGGAGAGAGCTTTTCAAGGGTCTCTGTAAGGGTTAGCCAATGCAAGTGGTGACATTGGTATATGTACACCCCTTTTGGAAATTCGCCCAGACACTTTGCTGCTGTTCTGCTGTCTGGCAGGGACTCAATGCTGCCTTTACACGAGGTGGGTGCTCTGCCAAGTCTCCGAATCTTGTGCAGAGGCCTTTCTAACATACCCATGCCTTAAGGTATCAAATGGGTGTGAACTTATGTAGCAGTGGAGGCTTGGGGCTCACACTCAGCCTATACCAGAACTCTTTGGGACATAGAATCATCATAGAAAGTCATGGGTTGGAAGGGACATTAAAACCTACCCAGTTCCAACTCCCCTGCCATGGGCTGGCTGGGGTCATAGAGCACAGATCCTGCCAAGACTCCTGACTCAGAGGGGGTCTGAGGAAAGGCAAGGTGAATGTAGGTATTTGCAGCATTGCCACCCCCACTCCTGTGAAGGAAAGATGAAGTCTGAGACTATAGTGGAGCTACTGGAGACACTTGCTAATGTAAAATCTTGTCTTAAATTCATTATGGTTACTGGGAAATTCCTGCTGGCTCAGAACCAAGTCAGTGTTCCTTTTTGATGCCATACAGATTTCTGCCCGTTGTATTTCTGTCTGTTCCCCTTATTTCTGGTTTGTATTTAATACTATTTGAATATTGTATTCTCTAGAGTTCTTAACATACCTCTTTTTAGGATTGTGTGTAGCAACAAAGGACCAATATCAGGCTGCCTGTGAGCAAGGATGGCCACAGATCCAAGTTCTTGGCGAACATCTGATTCCTTATCATTTTATTGGGAAAAAAAAATGCAGCTGGTGGTGGTCAAATGTTGCTCATCTGCTACTTCAGTGCTCTTTGGATATTGAGGTCTCTCTCAGAAATCTAGCTTATTTCTTACAGTCACAACTTGATGGAGGGCATAATCTTTCCCTTGGATGATTCTAGTTTTCCCAAAAGCTTTAACTTGAAGAAGCTGAGACCTTGAAGCTTCCTCTTGCACTTAATGATTTTAACGTGAGCTTCATCTAGGATCACATCAACAAGTGAAACACTGGATCCCATAATACCACCTTTCTGGAGCTGATGTTGTGGTTTTGCTCACCACATATCCACAAATCTTGTCTGCAGTTATGCTGCAGAGAGAGGCTTTTATGCCATCAAAAGTCATCAGCTGTCTGAGTCTCATGTCCTGTCCTGTTCTGAGACATGCCTGTTAACTCCTGCAGTTTACACTGCCCAGTGATGTCAGTGAGTATTTGGCATGAGTAAGCAAGTTATTCTTTCCTCTAAAATAGTTATTTGATTATATAGACTGTTTAAATTTTGAAGGAGTTTTACACAACCTGCTACCAAAGAAACACTTCTAATTCCAAACTGCCACACTACAGCTTTATTAGAGGAAGAATTAGCTATGTCTGAAAAACACTCAGAAGGCAAAGGGGTAAATTGGGCGTGTAACAAGTATTAACAATTGTTATAAAAGACCAAATAAAACCGCAGTGAAGATTTTACATTTTATTGTTATTAAAAGTTCATTATGAAATTGGCACAACACATAAAAATAGATCTGTGGTGAACGGTACACATTACATTATTGCCACGTCATTTCGTGCACATCCTCACTTTTTAAAATCAGAAGATAATGAACATAAAACATTTCATCAGCCAACTGCGAAGCCAGTGTTTCTGCAGCTGGGAGAGACCGTGCTTTCTATTGATTCTACTCGAGCAAATAACGCAGACAGAAATAGTCCTCTATTGATGCTTAAATTCAGGAAAAGGAAAGAACAGATTGTTAGAGTATTCCCCAGCTGAGAGGGCTGGAATTACCCCTTTTCTTACAGACATATTCTCATGGAAGTCAAAAGGCGTTTTGCCATGAACATTAAAGGCAGCAGGATTTAGCTATTTCTTGACAGACAGATGGAAAGGCCTAGCAACAGAAGCTAAGGAAGTCCCACGGCAAAGCATGAGTTTATTATTTTGATCTTGCACATGCTGCTGAATCTCCTTGTTATAGTAATTGTGCATATTTGTAACAGCAGTGATTGCTGGGAGGAGCTGGGAGGGTGTATCAAAGCCAGATAAAGCGTCAGTAGCTCATTTTTTCTCCCCATTTGGGTTGGCCTTCATTTTAACCCACAGCAACTTTTACCTGTACATTTTCTGATCCATGTGAGAAAATCAGAACAAAGCCTAGAATGACCATAGATTTCAGCACTACTCTACATAGTCCTAGACTTTGGTAGACATATAAAAAGCTTTTCTTTGAAACTTCTGTGCTTGTCATGGTGAGCATTTAGGTCAGCCCTCAGCTTGACTCTGCCTGCTCACACTGTCATCTCCATTCTAGGGTGCTGGAAGGCTGCTCAGAGCCTCCACTACTGGCTCTGCAGAACTGGGCCCTTGGTGGCCTCTGAAATGCCCACTACCTCTCTCTAAACTCATGTTCCATTAGGACTACAGTACATCATGCTACAACACCACCAGTAGCAAGCTTGGAAGTGCTGTGGCTACTCTGTTCTCATTTCCTCCATAGTGAATGTTTTTAAATCCAGAAGATAAAATCTCAGTGCTGCTCTCTCACATGAAAATCTCAGGGTTTCAGTCTCAGCCTCACTTCAGGAGAGTGACAAGGGTGGAAAGCTGGCACAGCATTATGGTGAATCAGGCTCTCTCTTTGGTTTTCAGGCTGTTTACTCAAAACAGCCCTTGAGAAAGATGCTGTGCCTCAAGCAGATGTTACATTCAACCGGTTTAGCAATATTACGCCTATTTTTTCTCAAGCTAGTCAAGGAGGGGAGGGAGAATATAATATATGTTAGTGCAAGTTCACAGAGACAACACATGAATATTTAGGACAAAATGTTCTTTCAAGGTGGGGCAACCATTTCTAGTTGTGCCACGAAAAGAAGGTGTTTTGTAACAGTTTTACAACTTGACTGTGAAAAAGCATTTATGTGAAATATGTTTAGACAGACTGCCTCACATCACCCAGCATATTTCAAGGCTCTTTCTGAGTAGTCAAACTCATATTTCTTGAGGAAATGAGAAGAGAGGAGAGGAGAGGAGAGGAGAGGAGAGGAAGAAAAAACCATCAGCTTTATCACAGCCAATTCCAAATTTAACTGTGTAATTCAGGGATGGATATTTTTGGTATTTTTTTTGTTTTTTTCCTTTTTGGAAAAAATAATAAAGCTATGCTAAGTTGAGGGATTACACTCCAAACCTTTTACCCATTCAAGACTTCTTTCATTTCAGAAATAATTTCCTCATTTAGAGGAAACTGCGGAAATATTTAGCTCATAGATCCTAGCAGAAGATCTCAAAAGTGGGCTAACACACACACTTGCTCCTGAGGAACTGCAGCTTCCAAGTAGTTCACAGACTACTACTGCCTACTGAAAAGCATTTTGAAAACCCAATGACTGTCCCAGTTTGGAAACAGTCTGATTTCATGTCTAGTAGGGCTTATACCCCAAACGAACGTGTGTAATCCCTAAATTCTGGAGACAGAATCCAGACATAAATTTTACAGCAGTCTCCCATCTTAAACATTTGGGTTTAGCTCAAAGTCTAACTGAACAGAAACATTTAAGGCCCAAGTTTTCTCTGACCTGCACTGCACCAGCTTCTGAATGCAGTTAGCCAAGTAAACCAAGCACACGTGGGACAGCCCTTGGTTACACAGCCATCATCCTTCCTGGTACTGCCCAAGAGCAAAAGAAAAAGGCTTCCAACATTCTGTTAAACACACAAATAGATGTGGAAACTCTAAATGTGACTTTCTGCCCTTTCTTGAGCTCTCAGCCAAACCACGGCCCAGCGAAAGTGGATTTACAGCTCTTTTTGCCTCTAAGCCCTGCTCAGAAACCACGACGGGGCAGAAGCAGGTGGTGAGTGCCACAGTCAGTTGAGTTAGGCAAAACAAGAATGAGGTTCCAAATAGCATTTTGCTGAGCCAGATGACTACTGGAGCAGGAACCAACTAGTGTGCCTGGTACAGCAGGTGGGAAAGTAGGCAGGATGGTTATCACCAGGTCTTTGCTGCTGACAGAGACCTCTGTAGAGTTCATCTCAGCATCCTCGGCCTACACTCTGAGCTGCGCCAAGACCGTACAGGTCATGAAAAATCTGAGGGCTGCACTAAGCTACTGCAGCTACCTGGAGTCTCAAGTGGCTGAAAATTCAAGTCAGCCAAACCCCCTTATTCTGGGCTACAGCAAAGGCATGGAGCAGGAATCTCTATTGGCCTTGTGCTGTCAGATCTTTTTGGGTTTTGTGCTACTGCAGGGTCACAGTGCTGCTCTTTCCAGCCTCCTACTGTGTGGCCCTCTGGAGTAGCAGGACAGCCTCAGGCAATGGCTCTGCATCACAAAACATGGCTTCACATGTATAGTTAGAGAAAGCACTAGACAGGGTGGGCATCAAACATCTCTCCAAACAGAATTCATTTTCTGCTTGCATCTGCTTTGGAGCTACAGACTGTTCCAAAGCTGGAGAAAAATCCGAACAGCTCATGTGGAAGCACCTTTCCCTTGGATTTTTATTATCACCATTTTTAAGAATATATTTTGTACCAAAACACTGTCAGCATTCTTTATACGATGAAAAATGACACAGTCATCGTGAATCATGGAGAAGAGTAAAAACAGAGCAAGACAGGAACATTTCATATTGAGGTTCAATCCGGAGTACAAACAGACTCTGATGTACAACTTAGAAGCCATACACCAGATAAAAAGACCATCTGGAAAACAACAGGTTTTCACTTAATTTTGAAAAAGGAAAAAAAGTCAGGGGGCTTCAATCTTAAGGCTAAAATTTCCATTATTCACTCATTTTGTAGGTGGGAGCCCAATTCTTACCTCATTCACAGCAGCACCCCCTGGCTTCACAGAGAGATCTGCACTTGAGTGAAGGAAGACTCAGGCTTCTATGCCTTTGTGCTCAGAGGACTCTGGTTGACCTCAGCAGCCTTTGGACTAAAGCCATAGCTGGAATTTCAGCTTGCAGTCTAAGGCTTCTTAACTGCAGGCCAAATTAGCACAAAATGAGGCTTTGCAACTGGCATTCTACCCTTCACTTTGGATATTCCAGTTCTGGTTGCTTTGAAACACTTCTTTATTGCAAGCTTAATATAGCTCTGTTTGTGAGATTATTTTTTCTCTCTTTTTTTTTTTTAATACTGTGCTACAAATGATGCTTTTATATTCTGTGTCCCTACATCACATGTCTTCAAAATTGCCTAAATATATGTTTATATCATGATTATAACTACTCAGAAAGACTTGCCGTGGTCTACTGTGAGCAGCCAAGGAAAAAGAGCTTTTACTCCTAAAGAAGTCAAGAAAAGTGGTTGTGTTCATTTATAGTGTAGCACAATGACTCTGTTTATACAGCTATACCTACTAGTTAAAAAGCTACTTGAAAAGTTATTATTCATGTGCAGTAGATGATTTTCAAGCATTAATAACTTGGCTGTCTAGACAAGTTTTAATTGTCATATCAAAGGCCGAATATGTTCTCAAACGAGTGCAAAAAAAATCTCCCATCTCCCCTGGAAAGAGGCTAGTTCTCTTGCTAAGAGACTGCCAAATTTTACTTCTTCTCAAGTTATAAAAGCACAGCTACAAATTTGCTGTTTAATTTTTAAAAACAGATTGACTTTAACTCAAACCTATCCTGCACAGCAAAGTTAGTAAGCCCTGAAAAACAGTTTAGTGAGTATATGCAAAAAGCTCCCACCATGTACCATGCCCACATTTTCCCAGGGCCCAGAGGGCTCCGTTAAAATGTAACTCAATGTTCAATACCAAACATGAATTTTCCAGAACGATATGTAGAGCTTACCCAAAGAACCCAAGACATTTTGTACATTCAAAATGTTTACACTTTGCTGTTCTTAGCGATCAGTAAGATTGTTCGTTTTTACTAATACATACAATGAGTATAAATAAATAAACTACAGATAAGCTTTAAAAATTGTATTAACAGTACATTGTGCAAAAACTTGTAACAATCTACATTCTATGCAAATACCCTGACTAAAATATACAGGCTAGTGTCCTCATACCCTCATTCAGTTTTTTGCACAGTCCTTGGACAAAATCAGCAGCTGGGAGCAATCAGCAGGATGCCACTGCAAGCCATGGAGGTTAGCTGATCAACACCAGCAGCAGATCTCGCCCCTGGGCATGTGCAAAAATCCCATAGAAATCAATGGGAGTTGTGCTTGACTAAGGACTAAACAGTTTGATTGTACCCCGATAAAGTGAATAGCAGATTTGCCATTGATTTCCGTGGAACCAGGCTCAGGCCCCGGGTAAGGACGTCAACATGTGGCCCTACGTTGTGCTACACTACTCCACTTCAGTGCAGAAACAATATTTGCAAAAGAAAAACCTTTTTTTGTTGTTGTTACTGCTGTGCAGTAACTGGTTTTAGTGCTGTGTTTCAGAAATCGCCTTTCTGTGAGATTTGAAACAAGACTGCAAGTCTTTCCGAATCCATTCCATTGATTATCCAGCACAAGTGGGCTATTTTGATCAAAGAAAAATGGCTCGATGTCTATTAACCATCAGTGTTCTTCATTAAATTAGACAACAGCCCAGTTCATCGGCACAGGCGTGAAGAACTGCACACAGAGAAGGAACAGCCTTCCTACTATGGTTGTGTCCAGAGCCGGCTGTCACTTCTCCACACAGACGATGGCACCTGAGCCGGTTTGGAATCTACAGTTCTAACAAGTTCAGCCAAGTTTTGTAAGCTGAAGATCTCCATTTATCTTTATCGTGTCAATTGCTGACAGTGTTTCAATACGGTGGTAAAAATCAAAGAGCTGATGTCCATCCACAAATATTCTAAAACGGGGATGCTCACAAAGTATCTCAACCTGTAAAAAATAAAATGATGAACCATGTTCACAACATAACTGGGAAGATCTTTCACAGGATGCAAAGAGCACCTTTCAGCAGCACTGGTATGGCTACACATCTTGCTACTTGCACGCCATGTCACAGAGAAAGCTGAGCCCACTTTGCCCCCACGACCCCAGTTCCACTACAAGGGATCTGCTCTCACTTCTCAGAGATGTTAATCCAGTCTCACACTGTCACGGTGGGGAGAAGCCCCAAACCCTGATGCACAACTCTGCAGATTATGGTCCTGCTGGCACCATGGAGGTTTTCTCTCTGTGAATAATGCCAGAAGCAAACTGCTAATTAAAGGTATATCCAACCCAAATCTTGCATTCCTTGCTACAGATGTTTTTTTTCCCCCTGCAGAATGAGGGGGCAGTTTCCTCTGCAATGTTTTCCACACTGCCATTAATTCAGTGGAAGAAAGCAAACATGAGAGGGATAGGTTTGCCCTCCCCTCCCACACACCAGAACTGCACATACACAGCTGCTGTGCAACTAAAAAGCTTTTGCTGTGGTGACTGCACACAGTCCAACTGCCTGTTGGATGAGGGGCTGCAGTGAGGGAGACGTAGCACAGGATAGCTTGATTACAGTCAGACAGCCACCAGAAGCACAGACTGCACCAGGGAAGGATAAAGCTCATCTCTCATCCTGCAGCCCTGGAGAAATAATCTGGAAAAGCCACAAGGAGAAGAACTAGACCACTCATTCTGGATAAGGCCAGAGATTCCTGATGTTAAAGGTGGCTTGATGCCTTGCAGATAAGCTTTGATAGAGCTGCCCCATCAAGAAGAAAAGACATGAAGGCACCAAACATGCTTTTTCTATGGGCTTTTTCTCCAGGTCCAGAGAGGCTGAGAAGAAAATCTGCAGGGAAGCCATGTGTAAAACCCAGGTTATTTCTGAGGCTGGTAGTGTGGAGAGAAGTGAGTGATAAACTGAGCAAGTCTAAGCACATCTGACTCAGGGCATGTCATACTGGGGCAGTAGAAGCACACTGCCCATGGGAACCTGGTAGTGCACCACGTTAGCAGGGAAGCACTCGTGCTGTTGCGCAGCTCTGGTGTCACTGCAGGTGCATCCAGCCCCAGGCCTTGTTATGTAAAAGATACGGTTAGCCTCAACGCTGCTTACAATCCACCCTGGGCCATACCAAAATGATAATTGAACAGGATCACAGGTAATTGGCAAGAGCACTTAAATACTCCTGTTTAACTTAGTCACTGAGGAGACCATCAAAGATGCAAAGTAACTGGGAGCCCAAATTCCATTTGGAAAAATAAGAAGGAAGAAAAAAAATATATGAAGAACTCCTACAGTATCTCACACTAAATGAAAAATACTGCTGTCTGCTGGTGCCAACTGTCATCAGTGGGACACCTGCAGAACATACTCAGGGCAATTTGTCTGCCCTGTCAGTGCCCAGTCACTCCCATGGCAGCAGGCAGCCCATCCCTCATAGCCAAAGCAGGACCAAGGCTCCACGCCCTGCTAAGCGCATTTCCCACGTGCACCAAAGGGTGTTGCCAGCTGTGACGGGGGAGATCGTAGAAGCAAGTAGAGCGCAACCAATAGGCAGCAAAACCTGTCATAAACACTCTCTGAAAGCCCAAGCCTCTGGAGAGACGGTGAGCTTTTGGGGTTGGGGGAGATTATCTTGGGGAGAAGAAGGATTACGAGAGTTTGGCAGCTGGTCAGAATGGTGGCACTAAGCAAAGGGGCCAGCAAGGTTTCATAAGAGGGGTGGGGGGGAGCGGGAGGGTTTTTCTGGGTCAGCCGCACAGAGAAGGCGTGCAGTCCTTTTTCTCACGTAGTCAAACTGCTAAGAGAGAAGCAGCCCTCTGCAGCTGCATACTTTGTTAGTCCTGATTAGCAAAGAGATCTTCACATAGCCATAAACACCACAGATGGGAATCTGCTTCTAGGTCAACCCAGTCCATCCCGTGCACACGAGATTTCCACGCATGCTATTTCCAAGTGACTGTAGGCTTAAATTTGGCAGGAGACTTAATCCCAGGGTTCAGAGAAGAATACCACTATCGCTCAGCTATTTAATCTGCTGACACAAAGGGCTACGGCCAGCCTCTGCATAACATCCCTGGAGGAAAAGGATGAACAAGATCCTCATTAACTGCGCTAAACTGCAAACACTACATCCATTATAGAAATCATCCAAACCCACGGCAGTCCCACAGAGTATTTACATTCTCCAGTAATAACTTGAAATGCAGTAATAACATAGAGGTACTTTTTAATTTATAGCTATAAAACTAAGCTCAGGAAGCACGCTTCATCACACAGCATTACAACCTCCGACTTGTCATAACACCCTGTGATGTGTTTACGGCCCCATCGGAACTGCCTGCAGGTGTAAGGCAGCACAGAAGCAGGCTCTGCACAACACAGCGTGTGATCCATGGCAGCAACTCGGCTATCAGCACCGCAGCCAAAAGCAAGTGTGGAGATGCTAACAGAGATGGCATGCACTCACCCGAAAAGGCTGGTCAGGTATAAATGGGAAGTAAGGAATAGACGACTGCTCTTCTCCCCATTCTCCAGCTACACACGAGTTTCTGATGAACTGCCTGTCTGTGAATACAGCTTTCAGCTCGATGGCCACATCCGCAGGAGGATCCTCCGACTCCCCACAGGTCAGGCTGATGCCAAAGCTGCAATGCAAACACAACCGCTTTCATTCAGCCAGAACACCAGCACGCAAACCCCAAGCGCAGCTGGTTTCTCAGCGCACTGAAACCGTCAGCAGCACAGAGCTCATGCAGGGAATGCCCAAAGAGCTGCGCAGGGCAAAGGACACGGCTACAGCACACAGCTAGGTGCGTGTGCCGCATGTATATGTGCGTATGTGATCCAGCGCGAGTCCTTTCCTTCAAGCGAAATGCTGGGAAACGGGATCCGGTAAAGAAATACCCCCTCTATGGGTCAAAGGAGAAACCAGCACGCTATATTTAAAGCGATAAAAATAATCCTTCTGTAGAAAGGAGAGACCGTGTGTGTGCATGTGCGTGCGGGTGGGCTCCCACCCCCCCCGGCCGGGCCCGGCGGGTTTCACCTCTCGGGGTTGAGGTCCACGATGCCCATCACCAGGATCTTCTTCCCCGGCCGCATCCCTCCTTTGATGTGTCCACAGAAGGGGACGATCTGCCAAGGAGAGGGGCGGCGGGTCACTCGGTTGTGCAGCCGAACGAGGGAGGGTTTGGGGGTGGGGGGAAGGTGGGAATGGGGGAGGTTGCTAAAAGCAGTCCAAAAATGAAAGCAGCAAGAAAAAAAAAATTACCAGCCGAGGGAAGTACACATCAGCCTGAACCGGGGATCCCAGGGAGTTGTTTAAATGCCCGTCCTCTATTTTCTGCAGGTAGAAAGCAGAGCGCTGAGGCAGGCAGAGGCAGCAGGGCCCCTCCCGGCCCCCCGCCTCTCCCCTCCGCAGGTGAGCGCCCCTGGCAGCAGCACGGCAGCAGCACCGCAGCGGCAGCACCCGCCTCCGCGCCGCAGGTGCCCGCCGCTCCCCCAGCCCCGCACCGCGGCGGCACTCACCAGCGCGTCCCGCTCGGCCACGGTCCCCGCCATCTTGTGCGAGCGGCGGCGGCGCCGGGGACGGGGAGGGGGCGACGGGGTAGGGCTGGGCTCCGGGGGAAGTCCGGCGGCTCGGGGGGCAGCGGCGGAGCCGGAGAGGTGCCGGCGCAGAAGTAGGAAGGCAGAGAGGAGGAGGAGGAGGAGGAAGAGCAGAAGGGGAGGTGGCCGGCGCTGCCTCGCCCGGCGGGGAGCGGGGAGAGCCCAGCCCCTGGCCTGCGGGGAGCCGGGCAGGGCGGGGATGCCGCGGCTTCCTCCGCTCCGCAGCTCTGCCCCGCGGCGCGGCGCGGCCGGGCGGGCGGGGGGCGGGAGGGGCGGCCGCAGCCCCGGCCCCGCGGGGTCTCAGCCCCGCCGAGGAGGAGCCGCGGGGAGAAGGGGCGGCCGGGGGGCGGCGCCGGGCCGGGGGAGGCCGTGGCGGGGAGGGGGCGGCGGGAGGGCCGTGCGCCCCTCGGGATGGGGAGCCCTCCGAGGCGGAGCGGTCCTGAGTCCTGAGCCGCGTGGGACGGCGTGGCGGAGAGACGCGGCGGGATGAGGAATCCCTCGCCTTCACCGCAGCGCGAGTGACGCGTCCCGAAGGAGCGCCGTGGTGGTGCAGCCGATGGGCTTAGGGCCCTGGGGGTGAGGGTCTGGTCTGGCTTCCTCGCATTTAGGATTTGGAGGCGTGAACGACCTTCTGTCGACGTGACGCGGCACCGTGCACGTGCCTCCTGCCTCCCGCCGTACGCGTCGGGCCGGGTGGATGAATGTCACCGTCCATCCCTCCGCCGCCGTGAGGATTAATTACTCATTACTCCTAATGTGCTGTGGAAGAAGCTCAGTCATTGCAATACTTGGGGTTTCAATATGACCGAGCGTATCTGTTGGGAAACGCTCCCAATCGCTAGGTGATGCCATTCAAGAAATAAAAAGCTACTGAGAGTAAGTGAAGATTGTGCAATTGTGCGGATGCTTGGTTACTTTTTCAGTAGCGTCCACTAATTTGGGGATGTTTTCATCTCCGGATGCCCAGCTGGAGGTGCCTCATCAGAGCTTATGTTTGCGTGTAAGTCTCTTTGGATGTCACGTATGGAAGCCCTGGCTTCTTCAACTGTACCAGCACAGCTGGGCACGCAAGAGCAGGATCCTTGTGGCTGAGGTCTTGGCCTTGGAAAACCACCAGACCGTTTTCTTCATGCCAAAACATTGGGTGTCAGCCGTACCGCATGGAAATTGGACATGGATTCTCCTCAAATACAGCCAGGAGACTGAGTCCATAAACAGCCAAAACACGTGAGAAATGGTTGGCTTTCCATGGTGAGCCAGCTGCATTTGTGAGTTCACCACAGCGAGGAACCAGAGGTATAAACCTGATGGTTTTGTCAGCTCCCTTGAGCTGCTCACCTCTGCCTTCAGCTGCACTGTGCTGTTTTGTGACTGGCCTAAGAGCGAAGAGAAAGCTCCATATGCTTTTTCATCTTTAGTTGGTGTACAGTGGTACACGATGCCCAAAGAGCTCTTATCATAACTCATCATCTTTTCCTCGGCTGTACAGGGAGCCACTTCACCGGATAAGATTAAGTTTATAGGACATAAAATCAGGCCAGCCTGTCCTTCGTGCCATGAGTTCTTGCGAGGAGAGAGGTCGTTATTATTATGTCTTTGTTGTGTAACTGTTTTTATTTTGGAATAATTAAGTGACTTGGCCATTTGGCTAGCTGCTTTGCCTCGTGTTTGTCTTTTCTGGCGCATTTTCCACAAGCGAGCACAAATGCAGTGTTTGTTCTGTTGGCCTTGGAAGGAGTGCCTGGAACAACCTGTGGTGTGAAGCTATGAGGGGGGAGGACCTTGCTGTGTTTTTCAGGCACTGACTGGTCTGTGTGCTTCTGTTTCTATGCCAGGTTCTCTTCTCATCCTGTAGCAGCCCAGGACGTTGAAACCAGGGATGAGTGAGACATCCAGAGCGGCGTTTCCCCCAAGTGCTGCTGTGATGGCTGTGGCTTCTTCTAGGGAAGCTTTCTCCAGCTGAAGAGATCTGCCCGCCTCATCTCAGCCGTGGGCTGAGCTTGTAGGGCTGGTGGTGGTAGCTGAGACAACGTGACAAATATTTGTGCTCCACTGAAATAATTACGACTTAGGTGTCACTGAGACTGACTTGTTGTCCAAATACAAAAACCTTCATGGGCAGACATTGCCATCCAGTTCAGGGCTTGTGCAACCTTTTGCTCAGTAGGAACCTGAGACTCCTGAAATACTTAGAAATGTATAAAGATTAAAAAGAAGTGGCACGGTACGAATACCATTTGGGAACAGCTAATGATGTGCCCAGCCCAGCCACCAAAGCCATTGCTGAGAACTGGCAAACCCAGAACATCATCTTAATCCCAGCACCTTGTATCTTGCAGCCACTCCCTGTGATGATTTAAAGAGGTGTATCTAATTCTCAGCTGGCCTTCACCAAGAAGGAATGCAGCACGATTGCAATTTTGGTGTGGTGTAATTACCCTGCCTTTCTTGCCCCATTACCACTGACACCGCTTTCCTCACGCCTGGGTTTATAGGCTGACTTGTACAACCTCTTACAACCTCTTTGATTTGCTTTGTTTTTTTTAACAATGTTGGTAAGAAGTGTTTGCTGGTTTCGTGGAAGCTTCCTTTGGTTTCTGGGTGGCACAGCACCAAAGTCCTCATTTTTCTAAGAGTCTTTGAGAGCTGAGCAACGTGATACAGGAGAGTCTGGCAGTGAGTTTGATTCAGTGGCTTGAGCCAAGTGCAAAACAGTCCAGAGGGGTTTCTCCTTTCAGAAATACCTTGGTGCTGATAAATAAGGGGTTACTTTTTTGGGAGCTTGGTGACTTTGCCACTGCAGTTATCAGACAGAGTTCTCGGAATCCAAACTCAACCTTGTTTAAATTTGCCTATGTAGGAGCCCAGGGCAGAGCTTTGAAGAGGATGGGTCTTGGTGGAAGCCAGCAATGGGCTGGAGAGCAGAGTGGGAGACATGGGGCTTCTCTTGCCATGCAGCATCAAAGAGACCCAGGGCGATTCCCCTGGCACTGCTTATTGAGCCTGAAGTGCGAGGTGCCACATCCCTGCAGAAATGTTCATAAACCTGCCCTCTCATGCTCACCTACAGGAAGCACAGATGACAGTTATCAGTTCAGACAGTGCAGGGAGGGCGTGTAAAACACCCATGCATTTTCACAGGTTAATGCCATCACATCTTTGTGGATGGAGGAGGAAATCCAGGACCAGGAGCAGCACCGCTTTTCAGCTGGCTGTCCATAGTGTCTGCTGTTTATACAGATCATTTCACAGCTTTAAGTTAAAACGTGGCATTTATTTTGTGTGGCTTCCTTGCTTCTTGTCAATTCCTGAATTATTCTGCTCTGAGCCTTGCCCTTCAAGTCTCTTGCTGTGCACAAGTCCAGTGGAAAACTCAGTTTTCTGGGCCTCTCAGTAACAGAGATCAAGTAAACCAGTGTTTAAGGAGATTGGCCCGAGTGAGTCATTTGATTGCGCACAACTGCTGTGCCCTGGTGCAGAGCTTGTGTCTATCAGCAATATTTATCTTGCAGACTGTTTACTGGATTCTGCACCAGGAACCAAGGTACATACATAAAGGTATGTCAGATAAGAGCTTGGCTGTGGGTTGAAGGCTATTCACATTCAGGGTTTTTCTGCTTTTCTACAGAGAATCAAAGTCCAAACAGAGGCAGGCAGAGCTAATGCTGCGAGGCTCAGCAGGAGCTGGAAGCATCCCCACAGGACATTGTGTTTGTGTGACTCGGAGGCTGGTCCTTCCTGCTGTGTCCTGTGCTTCCTTGGTGTTATCTGCACTCAGCTGTTCTATCACCAATCTCATGGTGTCAGCTCTTTTTTTCTTTCAGTTTCAGTTTTGAGTTCTTTGCCATTTCCCAAATGCTTGGCTTTTAATTTTCATTCGTGCTATTTTTTTTTCTTATCTTCTGAACATGGGAAGCAGTTTGAGAATTGGCTGTTTTTCCTACAACTGAAATCAGAAAGGAGCACTGCATATGTATTTTAAAATGTCATCATTTCCAAGACAACCCCATGAATTTAAAGTGCCCTCACTTTAGGGTTCATGAACATGATCCATATGAACATCATCATCCGTATGATCCTCATCACATCTTCCAGAGGACGTGGAAGAAGTCTGCTAAGGGGCTTTTACCCATAAGTATCAGCATGTCAGAAGGCCTTTCTTTGTGTGTTTTAAATTATTTGTGACTGCTCTATCTCAAAGAGACTTCCTGTTACTTTGCATGGTCTGCAGGACTGGGTGGGGGCTGTTGACTATTTTAGAGGCACCACAGAAAGTGTTGTTCATTTATAAGTCGATAGACCCATCTTATTAATCCTGTTTTTACAGAGCTTTCTGCAAATGAAACCTGGAACGTGAGAATCACATCTTTACACTTTAGCTGCCAGCCCCAGCAGTTAAAGTTTTATGCAAAGCAAATTGTGAGCTTGTGGGCAGGGCAGTGCCCCCGTGGATTTGCTGGATATAACTGGGTGGTCCAAATCAGTGTGCTGCTTTGGGTGCATGAGGAGCAGAGTCAGCATCTGACCAAGTCCCAGAAGTCTGAATGAACAGACGAGACTGATGGCTGCCCTGCAATCCTCTAACAGAGCCTTTGAGTGATCCCAGTTCACTTGGCATAGCTGTTGGCACAAGAAGGCTGTTCCTGAGAAGGCACAGACAGACAGGCAGACACTCTGCTTTGTGCTGTGTGGTTTTGCAGTGTCTCTGGGCGGCTGATCAGCGAGGGTTTCACTGCCTCTGCTGTATTCTCACTAAGGCGTTGCGGCAGTCTGAACTCATCTTCCCTTTTGGATCATGTGTGGTATCCTCCATTAGTAACACTTTGCTCTTACAGGCGTCCTGCTGTGCATTGCAGCAGTCAGGGGCTAAATAATTTATTTGGGAAGCAAGTTTTTGTACATGGCTCGGAAAAGGGAAGAGAACAGGAATATTGCAACAGTGAACCGTGGGGTGGATTTCAGTGGTAGCCTTGGAGAAATACATTGTGCCCTATAGTTTCTGAGCATTGCACTTTGCCATCCATTGTTTCAAAATTGCTTTCTCTCCCATAATTATCTTTACAAGAGGAGGCGGATCCAAAGCATTTGTTTGTGCCTTTTTTTTTCTTTCAAGGTAGTCCATTGATTTCCATTTTTAATAACAAGTGTGAATAAACAAAAGGAAAAAGACCAACATGGTAATACATTAGCTGGTATTTAAAATAGAGAGAACAGGTCTGTTTGCCACAGCACGCTCCATATGTGGACATGAAAGTGTCTTACAGAGGTCATAATTCTCATTTCAAAGATGAGGAAGCAGAGGTGCAGGGGGAAGTGGCTGGCTTAGCCAGTCAGTGCTGGAGCTGGGCGAGAGCCTCCAAACTCTCCAGATCAGGATGGCTCAGGTTCCAGGTGCAACAGAGGCACTGTGACACTGCAGGGAGAGCAGCAAACCATGCCACCAGCCATGCAGCCAGCAAAGCTTGGTTTCCTTCTGTTCTGTCCAAGGGATCTCTGATGTTGGCCTTTGATGGTGCAGCCATGAGGTGTCAGTGGCCTTTCCCTCACCAAGGGCACTGATGGAGTGTGGCTCTCCAGCACTGTTGTCCGTTTCCCCAAAAGTTTAAGGTGCTTGAGAATTTTTGAGCCTTTCTGTCAGGCATGGGTGCTATGAACCAGTGAGTCACAAGTAACGTGTGCTTGCACGCATACACCCATGCATGCATACACAGACCTGTATCTTGGCATTGCAACATGAGGGATATTTTACCCTATGGAACTATGCGATCACTTAGCATTTTTACCTTGCAGATCTGTGGTTTTAAACATATTTCTCTGTAGAGTTCTGAAAGATAAAGGGTGGTACAGCAAGGATCTTCATTATGTTGATTCAGTACAGTTGTTCCATTTTACTGAAAAGTACTTTCCAAGGGAAGACACTAAATGACTCTGAATTGCTCTTCCATCTCTGTGGCTGCATCTTCTCTGAGCCCTCAGAGGCTCGCTATCAAGTCAGACTCTTGAAGTTACTCAGTGGATGAATCCTACCTCTTGGTGAGAAGGCTTCTATGCCTGCAGCCAAACTGCCCCGGGGCACGGTCCTGTCACATCTCATCACCCAGAGAAGGAGAGGCTGAATGAGCTTTTTGGTGGGAAATTTCTGAAGTAGTGATTTTCAATCTTTCTTGATTTGTGAGCTCTGAAAACGCTTTAGGTGGCTGTTCAGCCTCCTTGGCAGGAAACTGAAGCTTGCTGATAAGAGACTGGTTTTATTAGCTTTGACAGACCCATTTCAGGTAGGCTGTGGATGCCACAGGTCTTCTGTGCTTGGAGTTCATACATGGATCTGCCAATGGGAAGCAGACATAATGTGTATTATGCACCTGTACTCATATGGTGGGAAGGAGCAAAGTCATTGGAAGCCAGGACACAAAATCTTGCATCTGCCTTTAGGAAGGCAGCCATGCTGGGGTTGTGCATGAGTGGAGGTGGCTGGCAGGGCTCCCCAGGGTGCTGCTGAATGGGCTGTCCTGAGAGGTCAGCTCTTGGCACAGGAAACAGCCTGCCTACCTTTGCTACAAGCTGTGCAGCACAGCTGATAGTTACTGGCTCTGAAATGGCTTGCAGTGTGATCTTCTGATTAACAGTGCTTCCCTGCCTGCTTTCTGCTTCTTCAGACTAGTGCTGGGAAAGATGGTTAGCAGGGTAGGCTGTCTAGCTTTGTCATTCACCCTCTTTGACCTTCAGCTCTTTTTTTCTTGATTAAGTCCATGTTACCCATCAATTACAAAGAGACCGTGTTGTGTTTTTAGCCCACAGGAGCACTGTGAGAGCTTTGATAATAAATTTTTCAAGATCATCAAGAGAAATGTGCTATATAAATGCAGATTAATGTTACTAGAAAGCCTGCAGGTTCTTTACCTTATATGTCTCTTCCGTGGTGCCTGCCAGCAGACCCGAATACATTTGCTTCTCAGATTACTAATCTCAGATGCAATATATCAATGGAGCAGACTTTCTTTCTTTATATTTTAAACATCATGGCACACCATATCATGCAACCTGTGATAATACTGTTTAGCATCTCTGTTATTAGAGCATCTCTTCATACTTTTGTTGTTACAGGCCTCAGGGCCGTTGTTTACGGGCAGACCTCAAAGCCTTAGTAGTACTTCAATTTTCCAGGTAGGAAAACTGAGGCTCATCTTCCAAGCACCAAACTCTGAGCCGGTGATGCGACAAGTGACTCTCTTAGCTCTCCCATACTGTCATCAAGCACTGGGAAACTGTTTTCAAAAGAACCAAAGACCATCAATTATAGGACCTCAACGCAGAGTTTGCAAGTGAAAGTAAGCTTGCTAAACAGAATTTTCTTTTTGCCCTCTGTGTGCTGTGAGTGACACTTCAACTAGACACTGCAGTGGGTGCGTTTCCTGCATGTCTGGTTGCTCATGGAGAGATGAGGGGAAAGCCCTCACTCATTACCAGTGCCTCTTAGGCTTCTGGTTGCCTACTGAGTGTTTTACATCCCTGAGTGCTTCATTTATATTCTTCTCCTCACACTGGGCTTTTTTGTGGGTTACTAATATGTCCCTCAGACTTGCAAACTGTTGTTCCAAAAGGGTTAGAGGAAATACACAAATGATGGGGATAGCTGCTTGAAGGGCCCTCTTCTTCACACCTTACCAGGAGAGTATCCTTTTTACTGGGCTGTGTAGTCTTTTCTGACTCGTGGGCCTTACACTGCTTATGGCCCAATGGTCTGGTGTCAAGACAACCAGGGGAATACTTCCTTCCATTCAGCTGATGTGGGTGCTTTGAAAGGAGAGGCTGTCTTGATCTCTGCTAGGCTGGAGATGGCACTTCCATGTCTCCTTTGTCTTTGGTGAACATTCCGGTCCCCACGATTGATGCACCAAGCAACATGAAAAGTCAAGCAAGGAAATGGCCTCTTGTTTTGAAGGCGGCAGGGGAGCTCTTTTCTTTGCTTTCCTTGTTGGTCACTTCTGCCAAATCTGGCAAATCCCATTTTTGTGTGACTGCTCCTGCCAGTAGATCATATTGGGTGTGTAGATGTGTAGATGGAGATTGGGAATTCCACTTCTGGAGCTGGCACTTTGATGGGAGGTGTTGGTGCTGCTGTCACCACACCTAAGCCCTTTGCCAATGTGGGGTCCGAGCGTCAAAGGTGAGTAATTGTTATTGATGGAGGAACTGCCTTGTTTGTCCACTGACTAAACAAAGCAGATTTTCCAGCTTTTCCCTCCTCCAAGTCTCCTCCAGGTCCTTCCAGCTTCCCCATGTCACTCCCTTTTCCTAATCTCCCCATCTTTTCTCTGTGGCTTCCTCCTTCAGTTTCAGTTCTGGAAGGCAGCTCTCAGCCTCACGTTCTTCTCATCTGAAGAGGGCTTCCCAAGTACAACTTGAAAGTCTTGCATAGTACAACCTTCTTCCCAAGGCCATCTGTGCCAAAAAGCTATATACTTTCCCTATTTTGCAATGATCATATTTAACTTGTAGTAACATACCAAAGTTATTAGCCACTCCCTACTGGAATGCTCTATTCCTAAAGAAGCTAT